CCTTCTAGTACTACAGTCAGGCCAAGTGAAAACCACATTCAGGCTCACCAACAAATGCCACGTGAATGACACAACTAGGAACAGACCTCCTTGTAACCAGAGGACTGCTTCACAGAATCCACGGTGTGCAGAGAGGAAGCAGTTTGTGCTGTGGAAGCCACGAGTACAAGGTGCTACCGGAGAACAGAGGAGACGTATGCGTGCATGGAGACAGAAAGAGAGGGCAGAGGCAGAGAACGCAAAAAACCCTCCAGCCAGGCAGTAGGAGTAGCCTTATCAAGGAGCATCGGTAAGCCAATGGGACTGAACAGAGTAACAGAGAGAAAGTGGTGACAGTGGGGAGATTTGTCGGCCAGCAACACTCTTTTGTTCACTTATGTCAGCGATGGCTTAGCAATACGTATAAACTGCTATTCATGATGACTGATACATACCCAGCCAAAGGAAAACAGAGGAGCCTTAGTCCCAAGTCTATCATAGAAAGCCCATGGCCATCTCACCAAGGCCAGACAATAACTGCTGTTGCCCTCACAACCGTTACCGCAGCGCTACTGTCTTTTTCATGTAGAACATGCCATTTAAAAACACACCTAATGCACACAGTACTCGAAGGCATTCCACGTGTAAGGGATTGTATAGTTTGATTTAAAAAAAACTATCCTTAATACACATGTTATTTGCATAAAATACAGTATTATTGGTGATATATTTTAGGGCCACATGAATTCCCTAGCTCCAGCAGCCTGATTCACTTCCTCTATTGTTATTTTTATTATTATCTTCTTGGTCTCTGTAGCTAATTTGTTGGTAACCTGAAGATGCATATACCAGGGGACTGAAGGGAATAGGTAGAGAGAGAAAGGTTAGCTCAAGGTCAATGCTCTTTAGGGTGTTTTGGTTCAATATATATGAAAACCGATGCTCAGTATAGAGATTATAGCATGCTATAGGAACCATGCTATAGTGACTTCTTGTGTTGTTCCTTACCTTCTCAGTCCTTCCAGTCCTCCCTCCTAGATTACTCAAGCCCCAAACAACGAGAGGGCTGTGAACAATAGGCCACTGTGTTTACAACATCACACTCTTGCTTTTCAGAGTAGGACGTTGAAACTCTAACAGTTCCTTTCTCTAGTTCTTCTTTCAAACTTTTAGAACGAATCCAGTCATCATTTCATATCACTCCCTAAGTCCCTATATTTCAGTAGTCGCTGAAATGATAAAGGAAGTAAATAGGGTTGCTGGTGACTTCTTGTCTGGCTGTGGTCACTAACTGGGAAAAACACACAAAAAACCCAGACCAACTCACTGCTATTGAGTCTACCCTGGCTCACAGCAGGCCTATCGGACAGAGGAGAACGGGCCTCGTGAGTGTCCACGGCTACAAGTCTTTATGGAAATCAAAAGCTTCATCTTTCTGCCAGGCCGTGAATGGCATTTTCAAACTACGGATCGCACAGTTCACAGCCTAGTGTGTCCCCACTATGCCCTTGGGGTTCCTCTCCCAGACAAGAGACGCTCCCCAAGATGAAGAAGGACAATCATTCTGTTACTAAACCAAGACCAGAGTGGTCAGGAAAACAGCCTCCTTCAGCTCCTTTTAATCCTCTTCTGCTTACAACAAGAGCCCCAAAAGAAATGCCCTCGCTGCTGTTCCAAATGGGAACAGAACCATCAAGCAGGGACCCCTCTGAGATAAATCTGGCAAAGACCTCTAGCTGTGGACTCGCATGATCGAGACCACAGAGCAGATTCCAGAGGCCTCTCCTTCCATTCCCCCATGGAGAAGCTCACTGATCTCACTAAAAAGAGAAGATAACTTTCAGCACCAAAAAGATTGGCCACATCAATAAGAATTTACTTTCCCTGAAAAAGGACTTTATCTTAAGGATTCATTCTCACTGTACAATGGAGAATAAAATACAATGTCCTAATCCTTTTTGGTTAAAAAGAACATATAATCAACCAAGGAAAAACTGAAGCTCCCACTGACTCATAGCGGCCCTCTATGACAGGGTGGGACGTCCCTGTGGGTTTCAGAGCCCGTAACTGTGTATGGGAATAGAAAGCCCCATCTTTCTCCCCAGGAGCACCTGGTGCTTTCAAACTTCGGACCTTGAAGATCACAGCCCTTCTCCTAACCACAGTGCCACAAGGGCTCCTTCAACAAAAGAAAGTGACCCGAAATTACACAGTTGAACGGAAATTACCTTTCTGATGAGGCACACCCACTAAGAAAAATGGCCTTACATGAGCATATGTAGTGATATGCCCTGACTGACGGCAACCCAGACACCATAAGATAGAACCATTGTGATCCATCGGATTTTTCTTGACTGATTCTTGGAAGTAGATTGACAGACCTTGCTTCTAGCCCATTTAGTCTGGAAGGTCTCCTGACACCTGCTTAGCACCATAGCAACACATAAGCTTCCACTGACAGACGGGTGTTGATTGTACTTAAAGGGGCATTAGCCGGAAATCAAACCTGGGTCTTCCCTATGGAAGGTGAGAATTCTACCATTTAGCCACGCATGACTGACTGCATATGTCAACAGAATAAAAAATACTTTTTAAAAGGTAGAATTTTAAGAACTGTGAACAAAGCCACTAATTCTGACATTAATACTAGAAAATTGACTTTCACTAAATTGATCTTGGTTAACTAATGATTGAGTAATGAAAGGAGCCAAGATACTTGTTAGCTGACCAACTATATTCATTCTGAGGATCTCATAGTCTTAGAATAAAGTATTATTCTG